TCTTCAACCACCTCAACCACCTCAGACTCATTACCCTCTTCCACAAACGTTTTTTCTCTGAATCTGAAGCACATTCTTGCGATCATGTCCACCCAACCAGCTTCTTTCCAAACGCTGGACCAAACCACCCTGCGTGGCTTGTTCTATACCCCTAAAAACTACTCCGGGCAAAAGTCGCCATGCGTAGTCATTTCACATGGCTTCTCGGCCACGAAAGATCAGGGCCTGACAGCGGTCGCTGAATATCTTGTGGCGAAGCTTCCCATCACCGCTTTGGTTTTCGACAATCGTGGATTCGGAGAGAGCGATGCTGGAGTAGGCAGACCTAGACTGGAAGTTGACGCATCGATACAAATCAGTGATATTTCCGACGCCATTACTTACGCTCAGACCCGAACTGAGGTGGACCCTACCAAGATCGGGATTTGGGGCTCGTCGTTCAGCGGTGGTAATGTGCTTTGGGTTGCTGCCGTGGACCGAAGAGTGAAGGCCGTCGTTTCGCAGGCGCCGTTGGTGGAGGGATACTCTGCTTTTGCCAATTTGATTCGGTCAGATGACATCGCAGATTGGGAAGCAGATTTCCAGAAAGGTCCGTGTCGACCCAATCCTCTAACACATCTATTGAGTTTTGACTAATCCGATTATTCTAGATCGAATTGATCGTGCTGCTGGCAAACCACCTATGATGATTCCTGTTGTCGATCCAAATCGATTAAACCGATCGGCCATGACTACAAAGGATAGTAACGCGTCCATGGGGGGGCTTGAGGGCGTCGTTCCTCACTTCAAAAACCAAGTAACCTTGAGGAGGTTTGTTACGCAAAAATCAGCCTGGCAATGCCAGCGAAGATTCACTCAACTAACTCGTGGTCAGCATGGAGAATCTTAGAGCGCATCCTGGAGCGGCCTGGATTCACCACATTTCTCCGACACCATTGCTCATGACTGTTGCAGATAACGATGTTGTGACGCCCACTGCGACTACATTGGAAGCATACAGTCGTGCACTTGAGCCAAAGGAGCTGCATTTGTTCCGCGGTGGTCATTACGAAGCATACGCCACGCAACCCAACTTCGAGGAATGCGTCAAGCGACAGGCTGATTTCTTCAAGAGAAAGCTTTGCTCTTGACCATGCATTGGGTTCAATGTGAAGCTTTTGGCTATCGGATTGAAGACAGACGTAGATTTAGCGGATTGCTCGCGCAATCCTTACGAAGACAAAAGTTTTACTGTTTACAATATGCCACTCTAACCTATGCATCCCGAGAGGGAGATGGTTCTCTGAGTAATTCGCTTTCCCGCAACCTTGTATCCCAGGCAAGTGCAAAGAGGCATCTTCAGGCCCACGGGTCGAGCTCGTGCAGGGACTGAAACTGTTGATGCTAACAGGTACAGATTGAACAAACTCTACAAACTACGAAAGATCTTCGTCGGCCGCAGCAGGTCTCTAGGCTGCCCTGTTCCGGGACTTCTGAAGATCCGCCATGCGCTGCGCAGTCCTCGCTCTACCCTCTGCCAAGAGCCTGTTGTCTTGACATTCTTCTCTAAGCTTCAACCGCTTCGCATGAATTCGAGCATTTTCAGCTTCCATCTCGTATTTCATGAGCTGTTCTTCTGGCGTTTGAGGCGCGAACTCGTAGCCAAAGTTGAGGAGGTCAAACCGCTCTCCGATCTCTTCAACATCTCGCTTTCGCTTAGCGCGGCGCCGTCTTTCATTGTTGTCTGAGGATTCTTCAGATGCTTCTCTTCTCCGACGGAGACGTCGCTCCCGTCGACGGCGCTCCCATGGCGGCGTGCCGCTGCGAGACCTGCGAGACCCTGTCTGGCCATCGCTCGGATGGGGCGAACGGGACGGCTCATGTTGACGGGTCGGGCGCTCGACTGGAGTACGAGGTCTACGCTCTTGTGATGCAGCTGGATCGCCTTCTGCTGGCGGCCTTTCATCGGATTGTGATGGCCTTGTTGGTTCCTGGAATAGAGCCTCTTGTACCCTATCCCGCGGCTGCAGGGGACGGAAAGGCTGCCCCGGCAGCCCGTTGAACCTGAGGTTCATGCTACCTGCGTACAGTCCTGGAGCGGGTAAGATACCGATGGGTGCCCTCTGTTGCGGCGTAGGAGTGTGCTGATGGTATGCCTCGAAGTCTAACGATTGCTGAGATGGTACCGGAGAGCCATTGACCGGCTCGTCATCGTTGTTAAAGAGATGACGTCCTGTAGCCATTGCTCGCGGCATCTCTGGAATGTGCCCTGGAGTCCTTTCTCCGCCCAACTCTCTGCCAGACTCTTCAGCTCGACCACGTTCGTTCGGGGAAACGTCTGGTCTGATGTTGCACATCCTATGAGCTTCTATCAGGGCGATATGTGCGTCCTTTACATCATCCAGGCGAACAATGCCGATATTATCGACCTGGTCTTGCTTCTTAGGTCTGCCAATACCTTTCGGGTGCCTCTTTCTGTTCTCGATCGCAACTCTTACTTCTCGTTGTACCTCCCCGATGTCTAAAGCAACCTTGGACATGGCGCTCAAGATTGGAATGAACTCATGAAACCAGTCATCTACGCTCTCTCCGCCCCGTGGCCTGATATCTTCTGGAAAGATGTCGATAGCCTCAATTCTCCAGGTTGTTTCGAGGTGCTCTAGCGTATCCTCCTTGTATGAGCCTTGCATCGCATCGGCACGGCGGTAAATGTGGCCGGCAGCTTCTTGTTCATGGGCATTCTTAACCAGCAACAGTACGTCTTCGAGCAGGAAATGCTGCGGTTCCTCGAATGAATTGCCTACACGCCATCGTGCATTCTCGGTAATATCTTCGAACACTGCGACATAGTCTTTTCTGTATCGCGACACCTCCAGCAAGGCGCTGGCGATTGCTTCGTCCCAGGAAAAAGTATCATCCCAGTCCAGTGGCTGCAAGTGATACGGAAACACTTGATGTGCCTCTTCGACAGACCAATTCCGCGCGATCTCCATTAGTATTTCCGCTAAGACTGGGGTATCCTCTTCGTATGAAGTCGCCATGGTGCTGTCGAGATGTCGAGCAATCTCAGAGGCGGCGCGCTCGATGTAGATCAACAGTACTAGCAGCGCCATGTTAGTGGTCATGCAATTGCGAGGTGTCAAGGCAGATCGACATACCTGGATGTGAATACGCGTTGGAGACGCTGGAGTCTGCGATTCAATTGCCGTCGCCGCTTGTGTTAGAAGGCGGCCGCGAAGGCTGCAGAAGTCTCTAGATCAGCCTTGGGTCCTAGGAAATCTCTGTGTCGACTGTTGTGAAATGTGCGCCCAAGACAGCGACAACAGCTTCAGGTCAAAAAGGTGGGGCTGGTCAAACAAAGCTTGCGCACGTACAAAGTGAAAGAGGACGAGAACCAATGGACAATGACCTTTGTTTGAGGGGCTAGCGACTAGACCAAATTGCCCTAGAACTACGAGAAGACTATGCGACGCTCACCCTGAAACCAGTCTGGGATATCAGCAAAGCTTCGCCCTTCCATCATCAACGTGTCTCTTAGTCTCCAGCTTTGGTCGGAGTATTCAGGGCGGCAGCGTCTTGACTCATCTTCAACAACTTCAGTCTACGAGACGCATAGAAGGCTCTGCCATCCGCTATAAGCGCGGTGTCGGCGTCTCGGCCATATCGATATCGAAAGGTAGTAACTGGATCTCTTCTTCTTTCGTAAGATGCTCGATATCGAGTGCATAACCAAAGTTGAAGAAGCTGATTTGGCCTTCGATATCAGACTGGTGTGGTTCAGAGATCTCACTCACTCCTGCGTCTAGATCAGGAAGTTGCATTCAATCCCGAGGCCGCCTGTCCTTCCCAGCATCGATGTTTCTCTTCCTCTTTCTGCCTGCAGTTCCCTTGCCTCCTGATATGATCATTTTACCATTCCGATCACTATTGATCCTGCTCTCTACGACGCGCACAGCACTCGAATAGCTCATGTGCATTCTTCGGTATCTTGCCAGTATCTGCAGTCTCAAAGCATGGTAGTAGTCTTCCTGCGCTTGGTATAGCTGATCTTTCTCAAGATGGAGAGTTCGCAAGTCGTCGAAGGACGCATCTTTGGGGTCATCAGGGGGTTCTTCCAGCAAACCGTTATCTCCATCGATGCCTGCGAATTGTTCGTGGAGTGAAGACGCTTCTTGTGTCTCATCCTCGGCTGATTGGAAACACCCTTCATCGCTGTTCAGAGATTCACTTCTTCGCTCACTATGTTGAGATCTTCTTCCATCGGTACTTGCGCGTCGTTCACTTTGGTCCGGGGAGGGATCCGGACGATCTTGCCGTCTATCCGCTTTTTGGCCCTGAGTTTCGGGTAGCTTCCGATTCCTGCATATTCGTTCGCAGTGAGAAGGGATCTCATGTAGTCGGTCAGCACATCTAGATGCCATGACGCTGGAGTGCAAAAATCAAGACTATGAGGTGTTGCGTGGGTTGAGAAGAGCAGAGGATAGTTTATCGGTAGCGTCTGTTGTTAGTTCGCAATCGTCGTCGGTGTAAGTGTTGATAGCCGAAAGAGAAGCATTCGAGCAAACAAAGGTAGTTTTGCACTCAAAGGCTGTTTGGACAAAGACGAGTGCCAGCCTGGTGCCCACGCTTTGGGGATGCTGGATTCACACGAGATCGACTCGGTTGAGAAAATCAGTGAGGCGTCTGGTGGGTCGTCATTGCTAACAAGGTCTAGCAAACTGTAGCACACTTCTCACTATCTCCACAGCAATGCAATAGCATTTCACAATACTAGCGCTACAACGCCTTCATATCTGTATTGCTCGCAGCTATCCATATCTATCAAGTAACATCGACTAGCCATATCGACCGCCGGTCCCGGCTTACAGATCTTCTTCTCGCACCGGTACCTCCGACAGTCCTCCTCCTACCTTCTCTCGCATCTTCTGGCCTCAATTTCTTCGCCTCCGCCTCCGCGAGACGCTTCCCAACTGCGATAACATTCCTCTCGTGCATCTGTATCCTAGACTTCCGTGTCATGGTTACGATCCTCCAAGGCTGGACCGGCGAGCTTTCCACTTTGCGTCAGCTGTAGCAGCTTCCTGTGTCCTCTTCAACCGAGACTCCTCAACATCAACCATGAGCTGCGCGAATATTGCTCTACCCTCGAACAACAGCTCAGCAGTTTTGAACCTGTACCGATCCTGATGTAACTTCGAGAATTCGACATCGGCCTTAAGCTTCATCAACTTTTCCTCCGGTGTCATGGGCTTTACTTCGCTGTATCTGTTCAGGAAGGCGAGGCTGTCTCCAGTATCGTCCGTCCTAGGCGGTACCTTGTCGGCGTAGAAGCCTTTCGTTTTGCGATCTGCCATAAGCTTGTAGCGCTTTGCATGCACTTTGGACAACTCAACATCGGCTCGGTACTTCATCAACCTCTCCTCTGGCGTCTTGGGCTCGAAATCATCGTATCCGAAGTTCAGGAAGTCGATGCGGTCTCCGAAGTCTTCGGTCTTCAGCTTAGGCGTAGAGGTCGTTTGCGGAACGGGCTGTGCATTGGGGCTCTTGGTTCTATGTGCAGTCATACGAGGACGGTGAATTTGAGGGCGAAGTGCGGATCGTGAAACATCTCGGCGGTTACGCGCGCTCATTTGGGAGCTAACTTGATTCTGGTCCAGATAACGTGGCTCCTGACGCCGACTCTCGAGTCCGGCTATGTAAGCCTTCACGAAGAACTTGGGGGTTTTGAGCAAGAGGCAGTCATCCACCGGGGTATTTCCTGGTTGCGCTTGGCCTGAGTCGTGGCTTTCGCGAGCACGCTTAGTCTTGCGGTCTTCGTTAACGGTAAGTGCGTCGGCAGAACGCTTTAGCGCCGGACGGAAAGGCAGGTCCATTAAGGAGTGTACGTTCTTCGGGGTTTGGCTGACCTCAGACAGGCGTCGAAGACTGTCCCCCAGAGCGCCTTCTTTTTGAGAGATCTCGTCATCAATGATCGTCGGAGGTGCACATGCAGCGCGACGACGAGCGCGCGCAATCGCGGTCTCCGAGCTATAAGCGTCCATACTGTGATATCTGGCGAAAGGCGTGGAGAGATATAACGCTGTCTGCGACTGCGAGTGGAAAGTGTAGGCCTGCCCAAGTCCTCCAGGGCTAGTTCCGAGCTAGTGTAGGTAAGTGTGCACGGATTCAATATACTTGGAGTGAAGGTAGACTAGAATGTAGTGCTTTGCATTATTAACGATCCAACATAGGCTACAAGAAGGGTAATCAAATCTGCCAGCCAACAAATGAGGGTCACCTCATCGTACCTGATCCTGAGAGAAACGAGACATTATATGACCTTCAGCGGAGATATTATCTTCGCCTGCCATCCCGTATCTCCCTCTCATGACCCCTGTTTCCCCTACCTCTTCGTTCATCGTCTCCGTTGTACCTGGTCCCTTCTCCGCCCGCAACACGCTTCCTGATTTGGATGACTTCCCTCTCATACTTCTGCACCCTCGCCGTATATCGAGATAGCATCTTCCGCCTCACAGCTTCGTAGTACTCCTCTTGCGCACCAAGCAGTTGCACTGCCTCATCCCGTAGTCCAAGCTGCTCGTCGAAAGTGGCACCGGGTGGGTCGGCAACCAGGTTGGGCGTCTCAATGGCGTAATCACTGACGTGATCGGATGCTGCGTCGCGATAGGCTGGCTGCTCGACCGGACGACTTCGCTGCAGCGAAGGATGCGGTGGTGGGCTGGATCGCCTATTGACGCTTGATATACGTCTCTCACGATCGCGTGGTCGAGGTCGGCTCCTACTTCGCGGCTGGTAACGACTTGGTGATCTACCCGCTGGACTTCTTAGACGGCTGCGTCGTCTGTCATCTCGACTGTCACGTCTTGATATAGACCTTGTCCCCCACTCATTCCCTTGCCTACCATACCTTCGCAACAAGTCATGGTAATCCTCCTCATACTCATGTCTGTATCTATTCCACCTCACTTCATCTCTTCTCAGTCCCGGTACAGTGACATTGTTGTATCTTTGCAAATCCCCCGGCTCCATGTTTTTGATGACATAATCTCGCGCCTCCTGGACATCCCTAGCCGTGACTTCACCTTCATGCTCATCGCGTGTAAGTACTTCACGCAATGCCTTACGTGCCATATCGAGTGAGGTTGTTTTGGCAAGCGAGAATAAGGCGAATATGAGCCACGGGTCTGAGAACCTGTACTCTTCCAGGAAAGGGAGTGGTGGTGTGAAGAAGTCGTGCGGGTGCCTCAGATCCCAGGTACCGCGTATGTATGTCTCGAGATCGTCCATTGGGGCGAAAAGACTGTTGGGCGCGTATGCACTTTGAAGCTCAGACATGTTGGCGGCGCTGAGACGGATTGGTCGTGCGTAGGAATTGGATTGATCGCTATGTACTCCTGCGGCGGCTCTTTTGTGGTCGATACGGTCTCAGCGTTGCCAAAGCCTTTGCGAAATAGTGCGATATGAAAGAGAATCGCGCTTTTGTGCTCGAACAAAGACCCAGCACAATTTGATGGAGCTCCTCAAACAAAGGCCTCTTTAACACAACCAAGCTTCGCCAGCAAGAGAGAAAGCGCCTAGTTCCATGTGGCATGCTACTACTAAGCGTTCATAGAGCTTACGTGTACCTTGGACTATTATTGCACACTTCTGCCCCTCTACCGCCCCATCTTCCTCTTCTTCCCTGCACCGCTAAGCTTACAAGCCAAAACATCCCTCTCATACATAAGCACCCTCTTCCGATAACTCGCCACAAGTTTCCGCCCCACAGATCTCTCATACGCCTCTCTAATCCTATAAAGCTCTATCTCGCCCTCGATAAACTTCATCTCTTCATCTTTTGATACATCCTTCGGCCATTCAGGGAAAGGAGGCCACGTGATGTCTTGTACGAAAACCTCATCCATGGGTGTGCAGCGTCGGTCTCGTCGCTGTGATGGTCGGTGTGGCTTCCGTTCATAATCGCTTTCATCGAACTTTGATTGCAAAGGTCGTCGTGACGCGCGTGTTGAAGATGGACTCGGTGATGATTCATCCGGAGAAGGCCGCCTCGTATAATGACTCCTCGGGTGATTCCTCGGAAGCGGCGAAGGTAAGCTCGGAGGATACGGACCTTGCGGTCGTGAGCTCGTCGGCAACGACCCCAGTAGACTATCGCTAGAAACCGATGATGTCTGTGACGACGGACATCTTACTTTCCGCGGCGGTCTCTCTCTTCCATTCATCCTCCTCTGCCCTTCCATCTGTGATTCGATAACCTTCCTCGCTTCTTCCAGACCTCCCCAAGCACCTGGAGCGTGTTTTGGCGGAGTGGGAGGAAGACGGCTCGACTGCATCTTCTCCGAACTTCCCGCCCTTCTCTTCCCATCCTTCTGCTGCGCTAACAGCTTCCTAACGTCTTCCAAACGCTCCGTTGCACTTTGATTAGCTTTCGAAGGAGGAAGAAACGGATAGCCCGCAGGGTAAGGTGGATTGCCTGACATTGCGCGTGCGATTTCTCCAGCGGTTCTTTCTTCGATCTTTGCCAAAGGGTGGAAGTTGGTTGTTTTGAGGAGCATGTAGATGGAGGGGAGGCCATAGGCTAGCGATAATGTTTGGTGAGTATGAAGACGGTTTGCGGAGTCGATGGGTATATTTGCGGGTGTGGTGGTGGTGAAAGAAGATGGCGTTGTGGAGGGCTGGACAAAGACGACAATGGGTTGACAAAGGAGGTTGATGGAGTCGGAGGCATGGTGATGCTCACGCTTGGTACGAGAGGTTGTTGGCCATATCCCATGATTCTTTCATGTCGCATTTGATATGTGAATTCAATGCTAAGGTGTTTCGTCGATGGATGCGGGAGCCAGTATTCATTATCGTTGCTGCCGGGCTATGTTCGCTCGATGCAGATCTTGAACAACCAGCGCAAACTGCCTAATCTGTTCCATATGTTGCCGATAATACAATCTTTCTGCTCTTTCTATCGCCTTGTCCTCCCGGATTTGCTCGCGTCTGATACGGCGATATAGTCTATCGAGGTCGCAGACAGTCACACACAACAGCCGATTCTGCCTTCCTTGGTGTCTGAAGTATACAACGTCGCGCATCTGCTCTTGGATGTGATCCTTCATCCGTGCATTCGTGAGAAGTACAAGACGTTCGAGCCGCATCTGGAATAGTCGGGACCATTTGTTCGCACGATGCTCGCCGTGGGGATGTAGGTCGTATGGGATGGCGCAACTTGCGTCGTAGAGTTTCCAGATGCTATTGATGTTCCGCAATATGGTGGTGCCTGCTCCCGGGAGTGTTAGGCGTGAGGTAAGAGGACGTGCCATTGTGAGTTGAGATAGGTAGTGGAGAGTTGTAGCGACGAGTTGAATTCCAGGATTGTATGCCGAACAGGATGCGCTTGCATGGCGCATACACCTTTATAGAATCGTACGCGTACATGTGAAGGCTGGCAAACATGAGATGCTTTGGATCAAAATCTGGGATGAGCCAGAGGCGACCCAGAAACGACGAGCCAACCAGACCTCCTGTATTTCGTACGACTCATACGCGAAGAGATGCTCTTAGAAAAGAGAGAAGTATCGCATCTCCAGAAACCTTGGATCAAGGTCGTCCATACTATGGTTCTGCACCGATAGTGAATGGTGCAGACATTTTGGGCCTATAGCAAGTAGCGCCATTCCAATTTTCTTACGCACCCTCCACTCTATAACAAGATCTCCATTCCGTCGCGCAACATCGCTTCTGATGTGCCAATCACCTCAAGAGGTCAAGTCGAGTGGGTGAAGACGTTGCTGCGCGACGCAGTAAGGGAGCGATACAAATGGCCCAGGGGTACAGGACAGGCCGCTGTGACGACTGCGAATGTGCGAAAAGTAAAAGGTTGGATTTTGGCCGAGTTGAAAGAGCTTGATCGTGAGCGGTCGCGCGAAGTCGGTAACGACCCAGATGCTACTAGGGGCGCCCTACCAACAACCACTTCGCGGTCATCTGGAAGCGACTGGCAGCCACTCAGACCTCCAAGTCCAGAGAGCGCACCAGTAGAAGGTCCAGAAGAATCGCCGGCAAGGTGTTCGCGTCCGAGCAGCCTCCCCCGTCTAGAACACATAGGCGTTGATCCGGTCCAAGCATTCGACAGCGAGCAATCTCCGTTGCGCGCGTCCGTCGAAATCATGACATCGAGTCTTAACATCGTCCGGAAAGAGCGACCAAGTATTGAGTTGCTGCGGAAGAAACAGCTGGAAGCGGCCATGCATCGACTGCTGGCCCAAGAGAACGACCACAGGCGGCGAACGGAAGAACACCGCATTCTCGCGACCCACCACTCGCGCATCGCTCTCGCACTTCTCTGCGCGTCGCATCAATCTCGCCTTCGCTGCCGTATACACCCACCTCCCACCCATCCCCCCCTCAAATCGCCCCAATAATACTCCCCAGCCCCCCAATCCTCCTCGCCCACCTCGTCATCGTATCCACCGCATCCTTCCTCAGCCCCATCGTCGGCGCCGCAAAAGCCACAGCCATAACGGGCGCAATACTCCTTAGTAGATCAAACCCCGGTGTTTGGGCTTGTTCGATCTCCGCCGCAGCATCCATGATATCCGTCGTGGCTTTCGAAGCCACGTCGAAGTAATGACTGGTGGGCATCTCATGGGAATCGATGGGGGCTGTGGCTTCCGTGTGGGTTTTGTACATGAGCATGCTTAGGACTAGGCGGTCGGCCATGTAGTTTGATGCGATTAGTGCTATGAAGGTATTAGGTGAACTTGTGGTTGATTTGGGAGATCCTTGCCTGGTATTGGGTTTGGGTAGTTTCGACGTACCCCTCTCACCCGGTGTTCCGCCACGTACGGGACTCCTGGATAAGTTCGTCAGGTGTGGATATGCTGCAGCCCAGTCATCCAGTTGCCGGATCAATTTGCACGCGAGTTCTTTGCAAGGTCGAACGTCGACGTGCGAGGGTATTGGCGTGGAGAAGAGGACGCGCATAGAACCGGGTATCTCGAGCATGGCGAAACAGTGGGGGACCATGAGTTCGATATCTGCGAGGGTTTGGTGTGCGTCGCGTGGTTTGCCGATGAAGGGGAGGGTCATCCAGTCTGGGGAGGCGTAGACGGATTTGCGGTTGAAGACTACGGATTTGTGCGCCTGGGGGTGTTAGTGGAGTGGCTAGGTATCGATAGTGGTGTCCTTGGTCTTACATCAGAGCTGCGGATACCCTTGAAGAGCGGCCAGATGGCGCCTGACCCGCAGTTACTCGGACCGCGCATATTCATTATCTCAGCTGCAGCTGCGATGTGAGACATTGCGCCCGTCGCAGTCGCTCCTACATATAGCTCGTACAACGACATAATAAGCGGCACCAAAACCTCTTCCTCATCAGGAATAGCATCATTCTTCAGCCTCGCTATAGACGTCCTTTGCGCACTCAACGCCACGGTATACCATCTCCACGAATCAATCAGAATACTCGGATCATGATGGTGCTTCCCGAAAAAGGCCATGGACACTGCTCGGAGAGACAGTCGAACCGCTGGCTTCCTTGCGTTGCTATGAATCTGGTTTATATGTCCCAGCCATTGGATTTCCGGTGCGTACTGACTCCCGCCTTTGTTGAGCTCAATGTAGTGGGAGAGGAACGCGGTGTCTAAAGCTTCTGGCAAGATTCTTGAGGGCTGGTTTAGCATGGGGGGTCGGTATTGGTAGCGGATTGCTACGATGGCTTGCTCTATCTTTTCGTTGTCTCTGCTTTCGGATGGCAACGATGGGTATGACGATGAAGAAGGCTGGCCAATTGGTGTTGATGTGCTTGCGGCTTCGTTTTGGGCTAGAATAGTACGTGGAATCGCTGATGGCTGGCCATCGTCTGTTGAGTCCTTTCCGCGGACTGCCAGTGCAGCTCTTGTTGTTTCTTTCTTCTTCCGCCCTCTGGGCTTGGCTACTCGCTCCGTCATGTCGATGACAATGGAGCCCTGAAGTGCTCCAGAGCAAGCCAGGCCGAGACGCCGACATTGTTGGCATTCAACTGGAGTTTCATCGCACTACACCACATATCAGTCTTCAAGCCTTCAATCGCGAATAGTGAGTAAAAAGACCTTAACACGTCTAGATCGACACTGAGCACAAGCTCTACTGCGCTGCGATTTGGGAGGCATTCCGTTCCGTCTATATAGGCCGGGCTGTTTCTGCACGGGAAGTGAAAGAGGGAATTCGCGCGAGGTAGACGAGGGAGGGATACAGGGGTAACGGTAGTCTGGGAACTTCATGCGGCGCAGTCTCATTCGTTCATGCTGATTGGGTGGCAGCATAAGGTTTCGGAAGATACCTCTAGCATGGTGGGGAAAGCGCGA